CAATTTATCTCTATGTTCAAAGGGAGAACGGACACTAAGAATGACACGAATAAGAGACGCAAGGTTAAACCCCAGAAAGGTAAAAAGAACCTCTTAAATTATGCCAACCTGTTCTTTCAACCACGTAACCCAATGATGTATCGAGCGATGTTTGAAACGGGTGAGGACAAACTTGCCGTTCTTGAAGTAGCAGACACAGTCCTCAATGAACAAGGAATTATCATCGCAGATGGAAACGCAACCGACGAATTAACACAATTCTATCCGGGTATTCAGGGGTTGAAAAGACTTCAACAACAAGGCAGAATCATTCAGAGTGAATGGTGGAAGATCTCAGACGGATCAAAGCGCAAAATTATGGCGGAATGTTTAGTACCCGACCAAGTCAAACCTGAACACATCCGTTCGGTTATCATCGCCGATGATGCAATGAGGAATTGGGTCCAGGGAATATCTAACAATTCGCAATTTCCTGTTATTTGTCAACCTGACATGTTCTTTCAACCCAAACGTCGAATTACGATTGGTAAGAATATATCGCTTATTGATGGTGGAGATATATTTTTCTCTGAGTTACAGACATTGACAGTTACAGTTAATCTTCAAAAGGTTATGGGAAAAGGATTAGCCCTGCGTGCTAAAGAGCAATTTCCTGATGTCTATGTAGAATATGAGAAGGCATGTCGCTCGAAAAAAATCGCAGTTGAACGTCCTTATATTTATAAGCGCGAGGCATCAGTTGCAGAAGAGTTGACCGACCTAAAACCACATCGTGTGAATATTAGAAATCCGATGAAGTGGTTTTTACTTTTTGCAACGAAACGCGATTGGCGCGCAAAATCACGTATAGAAGACATTGATGCAGGTTTGAAATGGTTGCAGGAAAACTGCAAAGAACAAGGCATCCAATCTCTCGCAATGGCTGCATTAGGTTGTGCGAACGGAGGTTTAAACTGGGCAGATGTAGCACCCCTCATGTGCAAGTCCCTTGATGGAATCGGTATCCCTGTTGAAATTTATCTGCCTCGTGAATACCCAATTGAGCCTCAACATTTAGTAGAATCACATCTCCTAACACGCTGACAATTATCTACATCCGCACATAACTCTCGCAGGCTTCATCCAAATCGGTAAGGACGTTCCCATCCACCTGCAGGAACCGACCGTTCAGCATCACGAATTGAACCTCTGAACCGGAGGCATCCCCTCCGTAAGAAGAGATATTCACCAACAAACCGAATATCTGCAGTGGACATCTCCGCCAAGCCGTCGTCAGAGATGAGGAATGTGTCCGTTGTGTTGTGCGACTGAAGTGTGAAACCTGTCCCTAAAACATCAGGATCCGTACGCACCTCTATGTCAGAAAGCGTCGGATGGACTTTAACTTCAGGTTTCATAGGAAATAACAATGTGTTCATGACGACTGGCGATTCCTGATGCCTCCGATAGGTAGCGGTTTCTCCATCCAACGTTACCGTGAGGTCGGTCGCATCCACCGCACCGATGAACAGATTGCTACGGTGTGGGTCCTGTGTCCGTATGTCCCCCGCGTCAGAAGCGATATGACGGGCTGCCCTTTGACCGAGACGGAAAATCTGTTCCAATGTCTGTGCGCCGTCGCCGAGGACGAGGTCGTGCAAGATGAAGTATTCGCCTTTGAGGTAGAAGATGGCGCGTTTGTGGTGAACGGTTGTCGTGTGATGCCACTTTTCAACACAGTCGAATACGGGTGTTGTTGTCCATTGCGTATCAATCCTATCGGATGCGGATAGCGGGAGCATCAAGCACGCGAACAGCACCTGTTGTCAGGTGTCGTCCGTGTGCATATAACACGAAAGTTGAGGTGTCGGCGTGGCTCGGTTTTCCCGGTGGATGTGCATCGAAAAATAGGTATTGTGCGTCGGGTTCCCAACTGTCCCGCATAACGTAACAGCCGGTCTCAGGGAAGCGCGTGCGAGGTGGTATGAGCGGGCGGAAAATCCTCACGCCGAAAGCTGCTATTGACAATCGTGCAGAGTTCATCGGCATCGAAGTTGGGCGCAGGGAGAGGTCCCAGCGGTGGAAACGTGTTATCGGGTTGACGCAAATGCATGCATGTCGCCACCAACTTTTCAAGCAGCGTTCGCAGTGCATCGGTTTGTGAATCGGATCGAAAACGGAGGAATCTGGCGAAGTCAGCAATTGCCTCGATTTGGGAACGGAGTGTCCGATCCTTGTGAAAGCCGTCGGAATGGAAGAACGCATCTACTATCCATTTATAACGACGGCGCGTGAGCATGCGAAGTTGTTCACTTCCACGGAATTCGGGGAAGAGGTGCGCGGCGATACCCATCTCTGTGGTCGCTGTGATAGCCGGGGTCGGATGGATAGACAACCGAAGTAGGCATTCAAGATAGGTCTTGGCAGTGGTATAGGTATCTGATTTTTCTAACAAGACAGCGTCGGGATTACAAATCCCTCCCACAAAATCTTCTGTAAACTGGCTACGAAAGTCGGTGTATGCGGATTTAGCAGTGAGTATATTTTCTGCACTTTTAACAGCAAGTTTTGGTTCGTAAGCCTCGCTAAAAAGGGCTGATTTCACGGCTTCCATTCCCGGATAATCCAAATTGAGTGCGTCAAAAAAGTCGTTATCGCTGAAAGGCAAATTGTATTGATTTGTAGGTATCAAGTTACGTTTGAGCACGGTGTTATAGGTAGTCACCGCCGATGCCAAAATCGGGAGATTGCGTTCGTTCGCAAGCGAGAAAGCGACATCGATCGGTAGGGTGAGATGGGAATCTGTCGGTGCGGGAGCAGCGTCCGCCAGCACCGCCGAGATCCTTCCGAATCCCGCAAGCCGCCAGAGTTCTGATTGTGGAAGTGATGCGCAGACACTGCTTGCCAATGCCAATGCGCTTCCCGCTTCGAGTCTTGGACGGGGATCTCCATCCGGATAGGCGTAGAGATACTCGGCGTGCGCTAATAGGATACGTGCGAGGTCTCGGTACTCGGATGCACTGAGCGGTTCGTGTGCCGCGATCGCGACTGCTTCAATGATGCGTGCGGCGACCGATTCTAACCGCCATGCAGGATATTGTGGTGTGAATTCGATCGGTGTCGATTGTGCTTCGTCGAATGTGAGTAGCTCCTCAAAATCCGCTATCGGCTCAAGTTGTCCGATCGCAAGGAGTCCCTGCTTCGCAAGGGTTTGTGCGAGGAATTGGATCTGTTCAGTTTGGGTAGTGGTATATTTTTCCAGCGACATGTTGTGGTCCTTTTCAAGTGAACGGTTCAGGGTATAATAGCAACATAGCAGGATTTGTCAAGAGAATCTACAATTGGCAGTCAGCGGTCAGCAATCAGCAATCAGCGATGAAACAAAAAAAGGGGACCGGTAAAACCGATCCCCTTTTGATGTACATTGAATTTTGCGTTCTATGCGGATAGTCCTGAAACTGCCGCATCCTCGTTGTCGTAATGCTCAAACATACTAACGAGACGACTCAGAACGACCAGGTTTTTGATATGTTTGCTAACGTGAATGACACCAATGCGACCGTTCTTTCGGTTTGCGATCGCACGTGCCTCCATGAGAGCACCGAGTCCTGAACTGTCGATCATATTGACGTGCTCAAAGTTGATGAGGATCCGTGGCTCGTCGTAACTTTCTATTTGCGGCGCGAGTGCCTCTCGTAATTCTAATACGGAGGGTCCCATTATTTTTCCATTGGGTTCCAAAATTGCTACGCCGTCTTGCCTACGAATTTGAGTTGACACTGTTTTTCTCCTTTTTCATTTACGAAAACATTGAAAGGGTCTATTTTCTTTTTTACTTTTTACACAATTTAAATGTTCAGTTGATGTATTCATTACTTTAGACGCATTGCCTCGAAAAAAGTTAGATTTTTTTTCATTTTCTTTATTAATAACCCATTTCATGAATAATTCTTCAACTTTTTGAGGATTTCCAAATCGAGACGACTGGTTACTGATTGCCGATGGCTAATTCCTTGACTGCTGATTGCTATTCTTCTGCATTTTCTATCTTCATGAAACCTCACCGGTGAATCAGGAACGGTGTGTCGCAAAAAAGAAGGACCGGTAAAACCGGTCCTCATTTAACATAGTGCTGAACTTTAGATATTATGCGGATAATGCCGAAACTGCCGCATCTTCACTGTCGAAATGTTCAAACAGATGCACGATTCGGTTGATCACAATCACATTTCTGATATGTTTGCCGACATGGACGACACCGATGCGCCCCTTCTTTTTAGCCGCAGCGACATGTGCTTCTATAAGCACACCGAGTCCGATACTGTCGATCCTATGGACGTTTTTGAAGTTGATGAGGATACGTGGCTCGTTATAAGCCTCTATCTGTGGCGCGATCGCTTTCCGTAATTCTGTTGCTGAGGGTCCCACTATTCTTCCACTGGGTTCCACGATCAAAATGCCCTCTTGTTGACGAATTTGGGTTGTCATTTTTTTCCCTTTTCCTTTATATTTGCGAAAACATTGGAAATGTCTATTTTCTTTTTTAATTTCTGACGCGTTATGAATGTTCAATTGACGTGTGTTTTAATCAGATTTTATTAGAAAGAAACCGTTTTGAATCTGGAAACTATATTTCACTTGCAGTGAGCAAATTACGTGCCAATGCCTCTAAGAAAACCTGTATTCGGCGCAAAACTGGTGAAATTCCAAAGATATTTTTCACGAAGATACGTCCAAAACACAGACAGGCATTGGGTTTATAGTAAAGAACAAGAACATTCGCTTTTTTCAAAAAATATGTTGATGAGAAATGGCATTTGTCATCTTCTATCGCGGACACGCAAAAATTGTATGGTATCCCTCAAAAATTGTGCTGATGGAGTTTGATAAAATCTTAGGTTGGATTGAGCTTCCGTGAAATCCAACATCTCTACTGCTGGAGGCTGGCTAATCCGAAAAAATAGTTTGACACATTCTACCGATTATGTGATAATTACATATCCTGTACTACATTTCAACTCGCGCGTGACAGGCGCGCTTCTTCTAAGGAAAGGAAATTTTAACTATGGCAGTTACATTTCACCACATCCACCTCCGGTGTGAGGACTTGGATGGTGCAATTCGTTATTATGAAGAGATGTTTGATGGGAAGGTCTCCGAAAAGGTTGAGGTCCGCGGGTTACCGATCGTACGGATGGAAATCGGTGGCGAACGGATCTTCCTCTCACCTAAGCTTGGCGACTTGGAGGTAGAAGACACCAGCGGGAATCCACGTTGGGGTGTCTATCAACTCGCTTTTACCGTAGAAGACCTGGACGCTGAGGTCGCGAAGCTTCAAGCGAAGGGCGCGGAACTCGAAGATCTGAAACCCAATGGACTCATGATGGCGTTTTTCAAGGGACCCGACAACGTTCAAATTGAACTCATTGAGGCTTAATCGTTCGTGGAGATCGCTACCTCGCACCGTTCGTAGATAGTATTTGCGTCTAATTTCCTCATAATCAAGACGAACCTAACATGATGTTGTTGTCTAACGCATCCCCTTGACTGAACGCTTAGCGAGGGTACGAAGGTATGAAATTTAGCGAACTCTTCCATACGATTCAGGGAGAAGGGCAACTTATCGGTGTCCCCTCTGTTTTCTTCAGAACGAGTTATTGCAATCTGAGATGTGTTTGGTGTGATACACCTTACACATCTTGGACACCTGAAAATCGGGACATCTCTGTCGCTGAAAGCGTTGCCGCGATCTCGCAATACGGTTGTAAACATGTTGTTATCACCGGTGGAGAGCCGTTTATTCAACCAAAGGAGTTGATGGCACTCTGTGAGGAATTGGATAAGCGGGGACACCACATCACGATTGAAACGAACGCCACGCTCTTCGCAGCAGTCGCCGCGCATCTCATTTCCATGAGTCCCAAGTTGCGTAACTCTGATCCTCCAACAGACAACCGATTCTTCAAACGTCACGAGCGTGGACGCATCCGTCCCGATGTTATCCGCAAGTTTTTAGAGAAGTATCCGTGCCAAGTGAAGTTTGTCGTAGATACACCTGAAGATTTAGCGGAGATCCAAGCGTTACAGACGGAGATTGATATTCCTGCCGAGACAATCCTCTTGATGCCGCAAGGGACAACACCCGCCGTGCTACAACAGAAACAGGAATGGTTGGTGGATCTCTGCAAAGAGAACGGATATCGCTATTCCCCTCGTGTGCACGTGGATATATGGGGCGATAAACGCGGTGTCTAACTTCATCGTAGGAGGGATCTCCGAATCCCGACGTTTACTGACTGCTGACCGCTGATAACTGACCGCCAATGAGGGTCGGAAATGAATTATGACATTCTACTAAAAGGTGGCACTGTCATTGATGCCGCACAGAACTTGAATGCAGTCCGCGATGTCGCGATTGCTGGCGGTGTCATCGCTGCGATTGAACCGGATATCCCCGAAGGTGCGGCGACGCAGACCATCTTTGTTAAGGATAAATATGTGACACCGGGACTCGTTGATATCCACACGCATGTCTATTACGGTGTAACGACGTGGGGCATCAGAGCCGACGGGGTTTGCCCAACAGCCGGAACGACCACTGTTGTCGATGCTGGCAGCCCAAGTTGGGTGACGTTCCCCGGTTTCCGTGAATTCATTGCCGAACCCGCGCAGACGAACATTCTCACCTATATCCACATCTCCGGGATTGGGCTTGTCTATGGACCTGTCGGTGAAATGCACGATATGGCTTATGCCAACCCAGGGCGTGTTGCGGAGACTTTACAGGCGCATCGCGATATGACCGTCGGGGTCAAGGTGCGTCAAGGGAAAATGCAGGTTGGTGATAACGGCGTTGAACCGTTGAAACTTGCCATCGAAGCCGCCGAATGCGCAGAGACACCTATCATGTGTCATATCGGTGCCGGCGTGCCGCTCCCTGATATTTTGCGGTTACTCCGTCCGGGCGATGTTATTACCCACTGCTTCCAAGGCAACGGTGATAATATTATTGACGAGAAGGGCAGAGTGATTCCTGAAGCGTGGAAGGCTCGCGAAGATGGCATTATCTTTGATGTCGGGCACGGTGCGGGTAGTTTCCGTTATGAGATCGCACAACGCGCCATGGAACAGGGTTTCATCTCCGATGTTATCAGTACCGATCTCCACACAGGCAACATCAACGGACCCGTCTACGATTTACCGACGGTGCTGTCGAAGTTGATGCACCTGGGACTCTCGCTTGAGGAGGTGATTGAGAAGGCGACTATTAGCGCGGCGAAGGCTATCCAACGTGAGGAACAACTCGGTCATCTGAAAGTTGGGACCGTTGCGGATGTCGCTGTCTTTGAAGTACTGGACGGTGAATTTGAATTCTTTGACACACACGACACAAAATTTATCGGGAATAAAAAATTGAAAGCGGCATTAACGATACGTGAAGGAAAAATCTAAACCGACACACCGTTGGCGAGGTTTCCTAAATTATAACGTGAGTTCGATAAATAAAAGGAACCTCTACTTGTACCGCAAATTTTTAGTTTGCGCGGAATACGCCACAAACTAAAAGTTTGTGCTACAATTTATGTCTTTGACAGGCGAAAACGGCACCTTTAGATGGACGAAATGTTTAAGTCGAACTGACGTTAAATTATAGGTTTCACTGTCCATCACAAATCAATTAACTTCACGAAAATCCAAATCAAAAAATACAAACATGATGAGTGTGAACAAAAAACTAAGCGGCTGTTATAGAAGAGTTCTGACTTTTGTATTAGCGGTTGTAGCAGTCAGCTTAATCGTAGGTGGCGTGGCTTACCGCCGAGTCGGTGGTACTGAAGGCGCACACTATTGGATGGCAGAACGTGCCCTGAACGGTGTAGAGAAACACCTTAAGTCGAAAAATCGTCCTGATGGTATCTCGGAGGATCAGGTAATTGCAGTCTTTGCAAACGTGCGTGAGGCAGTCAAGAAACGGAAAGTTGACCTTACATCACTTTACAGGGTGCTGAAATTGTATCAGACCGAGTTTCATACCATAAAACCCATAAAACCGTCAACACCGGAGATACAAGCGTTTCTTGCAGAACTTGAGAGAACAATTCTTAGGGATACAGTCAAGGAGTGATGTGTAAACTCCCTCATCTGTGTCTATATCTCCATGCCCGGTAGGGCATTTTTCCAGTCGCACCGAATTCTTTCCAACAAAAGTTTCCGTTCGTCAATCCCACAACCTCTATAATCCTGTGAATCCTTTAATCCCGTGAATCCTGGTTCAGACAATAGCCACCCCACCTTACTTCAATTCCGCAATTCCGCGATCGTCTCTCGGATTTGAGTTGTGTAAACGTCGTCGCTCAGGTCCGTATGAATCAGTTGCCTAAGTGCGCTTTGGTATCTCGCCTTCGGATCACCCCACGCCTTGAGGAGCGTTCTACTTTCGGAGACTTCCGGCTGCGCAACAGCCCGTAAGAGTTGGTGAATAACCGAGAGGTAAAAGAGGAGATGATGGCTGTCAACACGTGCCGCGATCTCCGCAGGTGAACAGGTTTCACGGTGAGAGGTAACCCACTCGGCGTAAGCGTCGACCAACTCTCGATTCAACAGCGAGACGAAATTTGCCCCTTCCTGGTTTGCCCCGATACTATTGAAAAATTGGACCAACCGCCGTTCCTGCCAATCCCAACCAACACTCGAAAAGTCGATTAAAAAAGGGGTTTCATCGGAGATCACAATGTTGCGACTCTGATAGTCGAGGCTATCAAGGGTAGGGGGAGCCGTTCGGAGTCGGTTGGAAAGGGCAGTCCATGTCGTATCAAGACGTTCCGTTTGCGATGAGGTTATGGAGCCACCAAGATAACCAAGCGTTTTTCTGCCCTGTTCAAGTAGACGTTGCAGGGTGATGTCCAGGTCAAAACGGAAGGCGTACGGCGTGAGAAGTTCCGTGTTTTCTGCGAAAACGGTTTCAACCCGACAGAGTTCCAGAAGTGTCGTCCGCAAAATGGGTTTGAGCGTCCGTGTAGGTCTGCTTTGTGCCATGGCATCGAGCGTCAATTCGCCGCACCATTCCAACAATAGCGCGTGAAAGTCTTCCGATTTCCAAATAATTTTCGGGACACGACACCCGTTGCGGTGTAATATTGAGAGGATGGTGGATTCAATCTCACAGGGGGTGTAGCCTGCTTTAACAACGGGCGTGGTGATGTCGTGCTGTTTGAGTAGGTAGTTCACGGAACCGAGTTTTAGACGGCAGACATTGTGTTTTTGTTGACTGCCGTGCTGAATCGGTTGAAGTTTCAGGACATCTACCTCTGTTTTGAAGTGCGCCGCGATCTGTTCAATAAGATGTTTCACCATTGTACTCCTGCTGTTTTATACCACAGAACCCGTCCGAATTCTACAATTTTCTTGACATTAGTTAAGACGCGTGTTATAAAAACTTGAAATTCAATCGTTTCTGTGTTAAAATACTTGTATCAATTCTGATGAAAAAAGTTCATCAGGGGTTACACAATCAATACTGGATACGACACACCTCTCGATTTGCACAGTGGGTTCTCTCGTGTTGGGAGTCTGATGCAGATATGAAAGAGGTGGACGCGAAAACCCAGTGGGGGCGATAATGCCCCTGCAAACTTGGGAGGTTTTTTTTGGCAGTTACAATGAAAGAACTCCTTGAATGTGGAGTTCACTTCGGTCATCAAACCCGTCGTTGGAATCCGAAGATGGCAGAGTACATCTTCGCCGAACGAAACGGGATTTATATTATTGATTTGCAAAAGACGCTACGGTTGCTCGAAACCGCCGTTGATTTCGTTGAAGAGATCGCTTCGGACGGGGGTGGCGTGTTATTTGTCGGCACAAAACGGCAATCCCAAGAAGCCGTGCGAGGCGAGGCGGTTCGATGTGGGATGTACCATGTAAATCATCGTTGGCTCGGTGGTATGCTGACGAATTTCCAAACCGTCCGTCGGAGCGTTAGCCGGTTGGATCAACTGGATGCTGATGAAACCAACGGGATTTTCGATCAGATGCCGAAAAAAGAGGTAATACGCCTGCGGCGTGACAAGGGTAAACTGGACAACAACCTTAGCGGTGTCAGAGAGATGAAAAAACTCCCTGATGTAGTTATTGTTACCGATACACGCAAAGAGCATACGGCTATCGCAGAGGCAAACAAACTTGGCATTCCGATTATCGCTATCGTTGATACCAACTGCGACCCGGATCCGATCGATTTGCCGGTTCCGGGTAACGATGATGCTATCCGTTCGATTCGTCTTATCTGCACTGTGTTAGCTGAGGCAGTAGTTAGAGGCAGAGGAGAGGCATTGGAAGGTGCAGAAGTCGCAACCGAATCAGGGCAAGCCGAAGGAGCCGTGGCAGAAGTAGATGCTATACTGAAAGTGGAAAAGCACGAGGAAGAAAGTGTCGCCATTCTGGAACAAGCGAAACTGTCCGCAGAGCCAGAGGCGATTGGCGATGGGGAACAGCAACCGCGTCAGCCACGTGCGCCACGTCAACGACGGAGAGGGAGAGCACCTCGGCGACCGTCTCAATAAATTTCTATGAAGGAAAGATAGTTGTCAGCTTATTAGCAGTCAGCAATCAGCAATCAGTAGAATAGCAGTCAGCAGTCAGCAAGAAGGTTGCCTCGCATTGTCCCGCAAGCCTCTATAGGCTTGCGCAAAGTTCACCAAAAACCTCTTTACTGACGGAAACCAATAGCCGACAGCCGATAGCCAATATACTGATAGCCGACAGTCGACTGCTGATAGCCATTCTGCTGACAGCCGATAGCGAAAGATAAAATAAGAGGAGGATATATGGCAATTACAGCAAAGCTCGTTAGCGACCTCCGTTCGCGCACGGGAGCAGGGATTATGGACTGCAAAAAGGCGCTAACTGAGACGAACGGAAATATTGATGAAGCGATTCAGAAGTTACGGGAGCAAGGTTTGAAAGCTTCCGAAGTTAGAGGCGGCAGAGCGGCAGAAGAAGGATTGATTGTTTCCTATATCCATCCGGGTAGCCGTGTCGGCACGTTAGTCGAACTGAATTGTGAAACCGATTTCGTCGCGCGGACGGAGCAGTTCCAAGAGTTGGCGAAAGAGATTGCGATGCAGGTTGCAGCCGCGAAACCGAAATATGTTAAGGCGGAGGATGTGCCTGCCGAGGATCTTGAAGCAGAGAAAACGATTCTGAAAGCACAAGCAGAGCAGGAGGGTAAACCTGCCCACATCGCTGAGCGCATTGTTGAAGGGCGTATCTCTAAATACTATACAGAGACCTGTCTCCTACAGCAGCCCTATATCCGCGATTCAGACCTAACCATTGAGACCCTCGTGAAGAATGCAATTGCCCAATTGGGTGAGAACATTGTCGTCAAACGTTTTGTGCTCTATGTGCTTGGACAGTAAAGATACACGACCATTTATAGTGAATAGCCATCAGCAGTCGGTTTCCATCAGCAAAGTAGTTGTCAGTTGCCAATGGGAATAGTTGTCAGTGTTCAGTACGGATTTCTACGAAATCCTTTCAGTTTTCAGTTAAGGGGTTGTCGTTTAACAAAAGTCTCTTGTAACTGATAACTGATAACTGACAACTGAAAACTATTAAGACCGAAAACTATTCCGCTGAAAGCCGACAGCCGACAGCTGACAGCCATTCTATAGTTTGGTCGCTTGTGTATAGATTACACTCGTAGTTTCGAGTTCGAGGCTACGGTTAAACTGAATGAAACTAAGTGGAAAGATAAAAGCACTTCTTCCTTCGCGCCCCTTGCAGCCGACTGGCATGTGTTCCGTGTCGATTTCTGATATTGCTGCATAGGTGTTCGCGATGTCTTATAGGGAAAAATCAGATGCAACAACAAATTCTTCAACAGAGTGAGTCCCGAATGAAGAAGACAGTTGAAGCGACAGTGACGAAATTGTCACATGTGCAAACAGGCCGTGCTGCACCGACGCTCTTGGATCAGGTTAGCGTTACGTATTACGGTAGCAAAAGTCCGCTGAGTCAGGTCGGCACGATTACTACCCCTGAACCGCGACTGCTTGTCATTCAACCTTGGGACAAAACGCTAATTACAGAAATTGAGAAAGCGATCGCCCACTCAGATTTAGGACTTTCAACGAGCAACGATGGAAACGTTATCCGAATCCAAGTACCCGAACTCACATTGGAGCGCAGGACCGAGTTAGCCAAGGTCGTACGTAAACTCGCCGAAGAGGGTAAGGTTGCTATTCGGAATATACGCCGCGATGCTAACGAAGCCATCAAGAAAGTTGATAGTGGCGATGCAGGTGGTGGCGCTAAAAGTAGAGGTCGTGGTGGCGATAAGAAACGTGGGCAAGCGACTGCTGATCCGGTTCAGCAGCTTACGGATAGATACATCGACCAGATTGACGAGTTGACGGAGGCGAAAGAATCCGAATTATTAGAAACTTAGATTGCGATTTTGGGGTGTGGGGACAACTTGTCAAGTCTCTAAGCGAAAGACGCGATCGAAAACTCAACTTTCCGCTGCGTTCTGTCTGGCACCAAGTGTCTGAACGCGGCGAAGGCTGAAGATAATTTAGAGACGTGTCCTATAATCTTACCGTATTCAAGCAGGATAAGTACTTATGTTTTGGCGGCGAGCCTTGAGTGTGGTTGTGCTGTTGCCGTTAGTCCTCCTAATTATTTATTGGGGAGATTGGCTTTACCTGCTACTTGTATCTGTCGCCGTGGTGATGATGCAAGTTGAGTACTGCCGTTTAGCGCAGCACTTCACGGAAAAATTGAATCCAGTGATACCGGCACTCTTGACTGGTGTGTTCGGTTTGTGCGCGTATTTTTTGCCTACACTCACAAAGACGGTATCTGCCTCGACAGTAATTTTTAGTTTCTTTACCTTCGTCTTCATTTATGTTTTCGCGGAAAGTATTTTTAGGGCGAAGGTCGCCGGTGAATTGCTCGCTGTTACACTGAAGTTAACCGGTATTTTAACGATCGGTTGGGCGTTAGGCTACCATCTCATCTTGCTGCGAAATGCGGAGCCGATCGGTAGGCAGCTTATTTTCTTATTGGCTGGAATCATTTGGTGTAGCGATACCGGGGCGTACCTCGTGGGTAGAGCGTTCGGTAAACATAGACTCGGCACACCGGTCAGTCCACGAAAGACGATCGAGGGAACTATTGGTGGATTGGTTGTAGGCACTTTGACGAGTTTCGTACTGAGCACAATCCTTCTAAAGGGAACGATTTCTTGGGGAAACGCCGTCTTTATTGGACTGCTACTGAGTGCCTTGGGACAACTTGGAGATCTCAGTGCCTCACTGATGAAACGGACTGCCGGTGTTAAGGACTCAGGACAGGTAATTCCTGGACACGGTGGATTCATTGATAGGTGTGACAGTCTGATTTTTAGCACACCTGTGCTCTATTACTATCTGGCATTGACAGGACATTTTTAGATTGGCTGTCAGCCATCGGCTGTCGACTATCGGTAGGAGGTTTGCTGATGAACCTATACCTTCTTGCTGATTGTTGACTGCTGACTGCTATTCAATACTACACATGAAGCACATCGTCATACTCGGTAGCACGGGTTCTATTGGGAAGAACACTCTCAGCGTTGTTGAAACGCATGCTGACGAATTTAAGGTGGTCGGTCTCGCAGCGAACCGAGATGTTGATACCCTTGAACAACAGATTCGACGGTATCGTCCGGCGTTGGTGGCTTTAAATGAACCCACAGCGGCGGCACAACTCCGTGAACGGATCCGAGATCTCAACTGCACACAAGTACTCGCTGGCACCGAGGGACTTCAAACTGTAGCGACGATGCCGCAGGCGTCCCAAGTCTTAGATGGCATGGGCGGAAGTGCGGGCTTGCTACCGACGTTGGCAGCGATTAACGCCGGCAAGGACATCGCTTTTGTTAATAAAGAGGTAATGGTGATGGCGGGACCTCTTGTTAATGCCGCTGTCGAAGCAAACGGTGTTAACTTGATACCGATAGATGGTGAAATGAGTGCCATTTTTCAATGCTTGGAGGGCGCGCGCGACCCGAAAGCAGATATCCATCGACTTCTGATTACTGCATCAGGGGGACCGTTCCGAGAGGTGCCGAAAGAGGCACTCTATTCCGTCACCCCACAGCAAGCACTCCGGCACCCGAATTGGAAGATGGGACAGAAAATCACAATCGACTCCGCGACAATGATGAACAAAGGGCTGGAGGTCATTGAGGCGAAATGGTTGTTTGATATAGAACTCTCGAAGATTGACATCGTCGTTCATCCAGAGAGTATTGTCCATTCTATGGTGGAGTGGACAGATGGTTCCACACTCGCACAACTCGGACCCACAGATATGCGCATTATGATCCAATACGCTTTAACCTATCCCCGTAGATTCTCCACACCTGTGCCACGTTTGGATTTGATGGAGGCACGCACACTACGCTTTGAACCGGTTGACTTTGGGAAGTTTCCTTGCCTCTCGCTGGCGTATACTGCCGCGGAAGTCGGTGGCACACTACCTGTGGTGCTCAGTAGCGCAGATGAGGTGGTCGTAGAGGCTTTTCTTGATACTTGCATCGGATTTATGGATATACCCGCGATCCTCGCGCGTGTGATGGATGCGCATGAGGTGATCTCCGACCCAACACTTTCGGATATTCTTGAGGTTGACCGGTGGGCAAAATCAACAGCACGTTCAATAATAAAAAATCACGTACGATCAAATAAAAAGTCGATGGGCTGAGGCTTGCAGGTCTCGCTCTAAAAAAAGAGGTAATAAACACCATGGAATTCTTCATCGACCTGATTAGCGCCATTATTCCGTACATAAGAACGGCATTTCTCGCTATTATTCCTCTCGGATTTATTATATTTATTCATGAACTCGGTCATTTTTATGCCGCGAAACGGTGTGGTATTAAAGTAAACACCTTCTCTCTCGGCTTCGGTCCGAAACTCATCGGATTTCAGCGAGACGAAACAGAATATCGGATTTCACTATTGCCATTTGGCGGTTATGTTCAAATGGAAGGGGAGAATCCAAACGAGCAAACCGGGACACAGGGTGAATTCGCGAGTGCCTCGATCAGCAATCGTGCGTTTGTCGTTGCCGCGGGTCCCGCGGTGAATCTCTTATTTGGCATATTGGTATACTGGTTTGTCTTTGCTACTGGGATTAACGCCGATTCCGCTCGGTTGATCGGTGGATTAACAGGCTTACCCCTCGGTGAAAAAGAGGCAATTCAGATCGGCTGGGTCGCTGATGATGGACCCGGTGCTGTGGGTGGGCTAATGCCTGGTGATGCAATTGTTTCCATCAATGGGGACCCAATTAGCCATTGGGCGATGTTCCAAACGCGGATTTTCACCAGTGCCAATAGACCCCTTGATCTCGTTGTGGAACGGGATGGTGAACGCAAGATCCTGTCTGTTATACCCGATCCTGAGCCGAGTGTTAGAGGAGATATAGGTATAATTCGAGTGAGTAGTAGAACCGAGACGGTCATCAGTCATATCGAAGAAGGAAGTCTCGCGGCACAAACTGGCATCCAAGTCGGTGACCAAATTGAGAGTATCAACGGTAAGAAACTCCACAACGTTCCATATTTTGGGTATGGTGTCTGGCAGGCTTCCGAAGACTGGCGTATTGAGAAATATCAGGCACTTTATCAAAGTATTAACGAAAATCAAGATGCGTTGACACTTGGCATCCGGCGTGGTGATGAGACACTCACACTCGAACTGCCGGTACGTTGGCGTGTAAAGGCGAGTGTCCAAGAGAATAGCATCGCGCAAAACGCTGGAATCCAAGATGGAGACGTGCTTGTGACGCTTAACGGATGCCAGTAGAGAATGCAACGCTCTATTCGGAACTCAAGACAATGACAAGTCAACCGATCGAAGTCGGATTGATGCGAGACGGTAGCCTGAAAAAGGTGACGCTCGCCGCAGAGATTCAAGGTTCAGAGGAAACTGATACCGAAGGCGCACTCTTCGGATTGGCATGGCAGACCACCCTGAGTGGAATGGAGTTCGCGGCACAAACGGCACCTTTGCCAAATTATAACCTTTTCACAGGGTTCGGAAAAGGCGTTGAAGCGACATGGTTGACGTTTACAACTGTCGGCAGAAACCTTGCAACAGCTGGTAGGTGGAGAGGTATCACCGAAGCACCTTGCCGGTCCAATCGGTATTGCGAACGTCACGAGTCGTATGTTTGACCGGGTCGGGTTCGGTAGTGTTCTCTTTTTCATTGGATTTATAAGTATCAATCTTTGCATCGTCAATCTGTTACCGATTCCAATTGCTGACGGCGGGCAGTTGCTGTTTTTTGCTGTTGAGAAGATCCGTGGCAGACCTATGCCTCGGAGGGCACAAGACATTGTTCAACAGGTCTGCATTGTTCTCCTGATTGCCCTTTTCCTGTACATTACTTGGTTCGATGGTATGTCCCTGATTCACGATCTGCGGAATTAGGAGAGTAGTCGTCGGTTGTAGGAGCGAGCTGTGCTCGCGAGTGTAGGGGTTTTCGTTTAAAAGCAACCTCTTGTGACTGACAACTGACAACTGACAACTGATAACTATTAAAATATGGATAGAGATAGCCTAAAAAAAGATTACATAGAACTTGTTGCAAGTGTGAGGGAATACGTGGAAGAACAACTTCAACTCGGTTTCAAAGAATCAGAACTGAGCGAACCTGAGCAGGAATCGCCTTACGCGAACTTCGATCTGACTGCGCTGGCTACCGATGCCGCAAGTTGCACCAAATGTCCGTTGCACGAAACACGGAATAGTGTGGTTTTTGGTGTTGGAAACACGGACGCTGACCTTATGTTCATCGGTGAAGCACCAGGGGCTGATGAAGATCGACAGGGGGAACCTTTTGTTGGTCGAGCCGGTCAATTGCTGACGCAAATCATTGAGGGAGGGATGAAACTCAAGCGAGAGGATGTCTACATCGCCAATGTGCTTAAATGTCGTCCCCCCGGCAACAGGAACCCTGAACCCGTTGAGGTTGAAACCTGTAATCCTTATTTGGTGCGTCAGATAGAACTCATTCAACCGAAGGTGATTATCGCGCTCGGAAGTTTTGCGGCACAGATGTTGCTTGGGACAAAAATCGGTATTACAAAACTTCGTGGGGAGTTCCATGCGTGTAAGGTGGCAGGACTCCGCGTCCTTCCACATAAGAAACCACCAGTGGTCATGCCGACGTTTCATCCGGCATACCTGCTCAGAAACCCGAACGCCAAGGCGGACGTGTGGGAAGATATTAAAAAGGTGCTTGCTTTTTTAGCAGATGTTTAAATAATTGGTCTTCGCGCATCGTTCTACGCAGGAAGAAAAGATGAAAATGTTTACATTTTCGTTTTTGTCTCCTGACAGGTGTCTGGTGAATTTTGCGGCGTACTCGCCCATAAGCGATCTGCTTCAACGGAATCTGAACCCCATAGGGGTGAAATTGCTTCGCAGTGAGAATAGAGGAACGATGCCCAGATCCAATAGTTTAAAATATGCAAACATTGCTTTTCCGTTATCGGTTGATCAAGTATTCACTTACGGTGTGCCACCGCAAATGGATGCTGTTTTACAACTCGGAACCCGGGTGTTAGCACCTTTCCGGGGAACACAGCAAGAAGGGGTTGTCGTTGAACGACTCGATGAGACCGATCTTGCTCCTGGTAAAATCAAGGATATTTCCAACTGCCTTGATGAAACCCCGACCTTCTCTACGGATTTGCTTGCGCTTACCAAATGGATGGCGGAATATTATGTCTGCTCGTGGGGCATCACGCTCTTTTGCGCCGTGCCGGCTGCTGTGCGAACGCAGAAAGAACAGAAGGTGCAACTCTTGCCAGGAGCACCTGCCCCGCGCGGAAAAATACAAAAGGAACTCGTCGCATTTTTGGAAGCAGAGGGTGAGCTTTCTCTCAATCAACTTGCCCGACGTGTTGGTGTAAGTTACCAGAATCTCCGTCCGAAGATTACCGCGCTACAAGAAAAAGGTATCGTTAACCTTGATGTCACCCACAAACCGAAAGCCAACACGCAGTTAACCACTGTAGCAACTTTAGCTTTACCGCCTGCTGATATTGAAGCAGAGATTGATCGACTCAAGGGTGAGGCGGACGGTTCCGAAGAGTCATCGGGTCCGCGACCGACGAGTCGTCGGTACGTTGCCGCTGCGAAGCATGCCGAAATTCTGCGACTTTTGCTTGATGAAGGTGTTCCTTTGGCAACAGCCGACCTAACCAAACGGGTGAATACCAGCATCTCTCTGCTCCGCACACTTGAAAGACGTGGTTTTGTTCATATCACACGTGCACAAGCCGTTCGTAATCCTTTGAGTTCTGAGCCGATCGCTGCAACACAGCCACTTCACTTGAATTCTGCACAATCGATGGCGTTCGCGGAGATTCAAAATATAGGCGTATCACATACTACGGATGCGTCATCCTTCCCTGCTACTGAGTGTCCGCCCACCTTTCTGCTCCACGGCGTAACCGGGAGCGGAAAAACCGAGGTCTACATGCAAGCGATGACAGAAATCCTTGGAAACGGGAAATCTGTCATCGTATTAGTGCCAGAAATATCACTCACACCTCAGGCTGCGTCTCGGTTTGTTGGGCGATTCGGGGAACGGGTGGCATTGCTGCACAGTCGGTTGAGTGATGGAGAACGCTATGATCAGTGGCATCGTATCCAAAAGGGTGAAGCGGACATTGTGATTGGACCGCGTTCTGCCGTTTTTGCCCCAGTGAAAGAACTGGGTATGCTGATTATAGACGAAGAGCATTCGGATTCCTATAAGTCAGATACCGTTCCGCGTTACCACGCACGGGATGTCGCGCAGAAGCGCGGTGAACTCGCAAACTGTCCTGTCCTACTTGGGAGTGCGACCCCGTCCCTTGAGAGTTTTCATCGTGCGAAGAATGGGGATTATCGGCTTCTCAGTCTGCCAGACCGTGTTCTGGGTAGAAAAATGCCCGATGTCCACATTGTTGATATGCGAACTGAATTGAAAAAAGGGAACCGGACTATCTTCTCCGATATCCTCCGAAGTTCAATTGAAGCGTGCTTGGAAAGGCGAGAACAGATTATCCTATTTCTCAATAGACGTGGACATTCCACACATGTGTTTTGCCGGACTTGTGGTTATGTTGAACGCTGCGAAAATTGCTCTATCTCATTGACTTTTCACTTTGAGACGAAACGTCTCGTTTGTCACCATTGTGGTGATAAACGTCCGACGCATCCGACCTGTCCACAGTGTAGCAGCCCTGCTATTCGCTATTTTGGGTTGGGGACGGAGGCGGTTGAACAAGAGGTGCGGAAAGCGTTTCCACAGGCACGTGTGAAACGGTTTGATGCTGATTCAACGACACGGAAGAACGCACATCAGCAGATTTTGGAGACATTTGAGCAGCAGAAGATTGATGTTCTGATAGGCACACAGATGGTGTCAAAAGGGTTAGACTTCCCGAATGTCACACTTGTTGGGGTCATCGCCGCGGATACCAGTTTGAATTTTCCTGACTTTCGGGCGAGTGAACAGACGTTTAGCCTGTTGACCCAGGTCGCCGGGCGATCGGGACGTGCCGAACTTGAAGGGAAGGTCGTCATTCAAACCTATATGCCTGAGCACTACTGTATTGCCGCTGTACAGAAGCACGACTATCTCGGTTTCTATGCACAGGAGGTTGAAGCACGCGGGGCGTTACGATATCCGCCCTTCTCGCATGTTGGGACGCTTCTGCTCCGTGGTAAGGACGAAAAACAGGTTGAAGAGGCGGCACACGCCGTCCGAGATCAACTTCAGATTTGGCTGACAGATCCAGCACCTGCCGCTCAGGTTCCGGATGTTGGAGAGACGGACGTAGAAATCCTCGGTCCCGCGCCAGCACCCCTCTCGAAAATCGAAGGAAAATTTCGGTGGCATTTTTTACTTCGAAGCAACTCCGTTGAAAGAATCAGTCAACTCCTTAAGCACTTGGCTGACGAGCCACCCGTCGCTATTAAATCGAATGCTATTGAGTTTGTGATAGACATCGATCCAACGAATATACTCTAATGGCTGATCTAAAGGGATGAATTATATATGGGTAACCGGATATTTGACAAACTTGCTGATACTGACTTACTTGCACGTAGCCCGATTCTGGTTTTTGCGGCGGATCCGCTTGCATCTGCCGGGATTAAGGGGCTCGGACAAGTGCAATACCCGAAACCGCACTACCGAACACACGCAGAGTTTTTGAAACTCCAGCGCGATCTCGTTGCAGATGGCAAATTAGACGGGCTCCTGATGACACCCGCTGATGCAGAAATCCTTGCACTTGAAGAAAACCTGTTTGAAGACACGCCGATTACGCCAATCGTCCGGATGAACGCAGAGACGGCTATCTGGAATCCGAGGTTTGGCGTTTATACCTCGCGGCTGTCGATGCCGTTTCAGACGGTGTTTCCAGAGGACATGCAACGCTATTGTGAGGCACTCATCGGTCCCGCACTTGAATGCCGAGTTAACTTGGGGTTGTATTCCATTACGCTCAACAATGATCCGATCGCTGATGAACGGATGTTGCAGGCGTATGTGCAGTTCGCACACGTCGTCGGTGAGATCGAGGGATTCGATCATCTCTTAGAGGTGTTTTTACCGAATGTAAAAATGCCCGGGATGGATGAGGAGAAACGGGGCATGTATGTTGCCGATTCTATCGTCCGAACGATGAGTTATCTCCGAAAACACCAACGCCCACGCTTTATCAAAACCGCATATACGACCTCCGATGTTTGGATCGAGTTGTGCCAATTCGACCCGACGTTGGTTATCGGTGCATTGGGCGGTCCTCGCCAAAATGCGCGTAGCACATTTGCGCTTGCGCATAATGTCGTCAGCAACGGTGGACGTGCTATCCTATTCGGGCGCACCATCTTCGGTGAAGATGATCCGATAGGTTTTGTACAGTGCATACGCCGCGTCCTTGATGGCGAGGATGATCCGCAGAATGCCCATGCGGAGTATCAGAAGTTGTTACGAGGTTCCCGGACCGGTTAACTCAGTATGTATGGGAGGGGTTTTCAACCCCGAAAGTTCAATATGTGGGAGGGGTTTTCAACCCCGACTGAAAAATCCTCTGTAGGCGCTTATGAACGCGCCTACCCGAAGCAGGAGATTTTCGCATGCAGCATCAACTCTCAGAAGAACCGCGTGTTCTCCTGCTCCTTCCAACACGCACTTACCGAGCGACAGATTTCCTCGAAGCCGCCCTGAAGTTGAATGTAGAGGTGGTTGTCGCATCGGAGGAAGCCGCGACGACAGCAGACCTATCACCGCGACATACACTCGTGCTGGACTTCAGTGCACCAACTGCTGCAACGCAGATAATTGTTGAATTTGCCGAAACCTATCCGATCGCGGCGATAGTCGGTGTTGATGATGATACAACGCTGCTTGCCACCGTTGCGTCAGAGGCGTTGGGGCTCCCGCACAACCCCGTTGATTCCGCAAAAGCGACACGCAACAAGTATCTCTTGCGGCACACATTGGCGACAAATGGCGTGTCGGTGCCTGCCTATCAACGCGTTTCCATCCATGATGATGCGGCTGAAATAGCGGCGAAACTCGGTACGGATACACACGTCAGTTTTCCGTGTATTATCAAACCACTCTCCCTTTCTGCAAGCCGCGGCGTTATTCGGGCAGACACACCCGCCGAATTTGTCGAAGCCTTCCAGCGAACAACGAAACTTCTTCATGCCTTACAAGAATCCACCGATCCGCCTGCGCAATATCTACTCGTTGAGGACTATATTCCCGGGCATAGAGGTGGCATTGGAGGGTATGCTGTTAGACGGTGAGCTGAAGACACTTGCGCTTTTTGATAAACCCGATCCGCTGGAAGGTCCCTTTTTTGAGGAGACCCTCTATGTTACACCTTCCCGTTTGTCGATGGAGGTCCAAGCGGCATTGCATCGTGCGACTGTGGAAGCTGCTGATGCGCTGGGGTTAAGACATGGACCGATCCACGCTGAACTGCGCTATAACGACACGGGCGCGCACCTTATTGAGATTGCGGCTCGGACGATTGGTGGACTCTGTGCCAGGACGTTGCGGTTCGGAACTGGGATGTCGCTTGAGGAACTCGTTATCCGGCATGCGATTGGGCAGCAGGTGGAAGAATTGCAGCGTGAACAGCAGGCAGCCGGTGTGATGATGATCCCTGTGCCGAAGGCGGGAATCTTAGGCGAGGTGCGTGGTAAGACGGCAGCGTATTGTGTAGACGGAATTGTGGAGGTCAACATCACAATCCCTATCGGTGGAGAGGTTGTCCCGCTACCGGAGGGTGCGCGATATCTCGGTTTCATCTTCGCTGCGTGCTGAAACACCGGAGGCAGTGGAATCGGCACTGCGTGAAGCACATCGACAGTTGGAGTTTGTGATTTTGGCATAGGAGAAGAATAGTCATCAGTCATCGGACGAGAGGAATCGTGGATGGAAAACAGGAAGGGTGGAAGAATGGAGGATTCACTCTTCCATTTCCATTCCCGACGCTTCCGCGCTTCCACACTTCCAATCTCCTCTTCCGACAACTGATAACTGATAACCGACAACTCTAAAAATAATATGTTTACTAAGCCATACGCTATAACGCTCATCCTCATTACACTATGTTTATGGACAGCACAAGCGGAAACAGATGAACCCCTTTTTACGGAAGTGACCACTGCGCTCGGTTTTCCACAGATAGAGACACATTGGCATGCAGGGACGTACGCCCTACCGGAAGTAATCGGGAGTGGGGTTGCGCTGTTTGATTACGATAACGATGCCGCATTGGATGTTCTGCATGTCCGATTTCCGCCACCCGAGGAAGTGGATGCTCCGGCACTAAACCGGCTTTTTCGTCAACAACCTGATGGAACTTTTGTTGACGTTACGGAAGCCGCTGGCATCGGACACGAAGGCTACGGACAGGGTGTCGCGATCGGTGATGTGGATAACGATGGTGATGCGGATGTCTATGTGACGAACTACGGGGGTACCGATGTTTTCTATCGGAACAACGGCGATGGAACGTTTGCTTTACAGGATGCAGGACTCTCAAACGAAGCGTGGGGAACTTCTGCGACCTTTGGTGATTATGACAGGGATGGATACCTTGATCTCTATGTCGCAAACTACGTTCAGTTCGATCCAGAGGCGGTGTGTCGCGGAAAACATGGTGCTCCAGATTACTGCAATCCACAAGTCTTTGAACCCGCGGTGGATCGGTTGTTCCGAAACAACGGCGACGGCACTTTCACGGATGTAACGCAACAGGCGGGAATCGCGGCAATGCCCGGCAGAGGACTCGGTGTTGTGTGTCTTGATCTGACAGGCGATGGTTGGGCGGATTTTTATGTCGCGAACGATGGTGAGGCGAACCAACTTTGGGTAAACCAGAGGGATGGCACTTTTGCTGAGGAAGCCATATTGCACGGTCTGGCGTTTAACGCCTATGGACAACCTGAAGGTAGCATGGGTATCGCTGTCGGTGATGTCAACGGTGATACGCGTCCCGATCTGTTGCTGACACACTTGATGGGGTGAGACAAATACACTTTATGTCGTTTCTACCTATGCTGTGTTCGTGGATATGACAGAAATGGTGGGATTCGCGGGGCGCGATCTGCCGTTTACAGGGTTTGGGATGCGGTTTCGTGGACTTCGATAATGATACGGATTTGGACATTGCACTCGTCAACGTCGGGTGAAGCGCGGTCCCGTTCTGAGGTGCGAACACCGGTGAATTCTGGAACTTCTACGCTGAACCGAACCTTCTCTTTCAAAACACTCGGACGGGACCTGAACATCCAACAGAGAATATTGCTTTCACCGATGTGAGTTCGCGTGCACCCGATTTCACGGGACGGATTGAGGTGAGTCGCGGAATGGCTCTCGGTGATATAGACAGAGATGGCGATATTGATATGGTGGTGAGCGGTCTCGACAATCGGCTCCGCTTTTTCCGAAACGATGCACCGCTACCACACCATCACTATCTTTCCGTGCGGGCGATCACCGACGGTCGCGATGCACTTGGCGCGCGAGTAACGCTTCGGACTGCCTCACGCACATTGACGGGTTACGTACTATCAGGGACAAGTTATCTCAGCAGCAGTGAACCGAGTGTGCATTTCGGATTGGGGACAATCGATACAATTCAGGCGATTGAGGTACACTGGCAAGACGGAAGTCGTGAAAGGTTTCCTGCGACAACTACGAATCAGTGTGTGAAGGTTTATCAAAGGAAGGGGGGGGCTTTTTGAAGAAATTGAAGATTGGAAGACAGGAAAATTGGAAGACAGGAAGATTGGGGGCACCCATCCTTCCATCCTTCCATCCTTCCATCCTTCATCGTGATGGCGTACTTCCGCAGATGCTCTTTTTTCTTTTAATACTGGTCAGTGTCCCTCTTTTTGCTGGTGCTGATATTGATATTCCCGAACCTGCCGATCTCGGCTTGGTTGAGGAAAAGTTGCTTTTAAAGGCAATTGAAGCCGCACAGAAAAAGGTGCGGCGTTCGCCTGACGATGCCGATGTCTGGGGACAGTTAGGGCATGTCTACCTCAGCCACGGCTGGGAGGTAGCGGCGATACCGTGTTATCGTCAAGCGAGTCGGTGCTTACCTGATGAATTCAAATGGCTTTACTTTCTTGGGCGTTTGACGAAGCAACGTCAACCGGAGGATGCTGTGAAACACCTTACCCGTGCCCTTACCTTGGATCCTGAATATGCACCTGCGCATCTCTATCTCGCTTCCGCACTCCGTATTTTAGGCAAATTCGATGAGGCACGACAGCATTTGGAGCGCGCCAAGCACCTCCAACCGAACAACCCGTTTTCTGAACTCTGGCTCGGTGAAATCGCTCTCGCAAGGCAACAGGTGAAACTCGCTCGAACGCATTTGGAACGCGCACTTCGTTTGAATCCGGGGCAAAGTGAAGCACACGTACTGATGGCACAGGTCGCTATTGCACTGGGAGATAAGCAATTGGCGAAAAAGCACGCACAGGCAGCTCGGAACCCCAGTCAATACAGTGAATTGACGGATCCTTTGTGGTGGGACGTGCTTAAGGCGGGTGTCACTGCTCCGCTGTATGCGGAACGCGGTAAGCGTTATATGTCGGAAGGCGATTATGCAAGTGCTGTTGCTGAATTCGAGTCGCTGATCTCAGATACGCAAAAAGATATAGAGGTGTGGCTTAACTATGGTATTTCACTTCTTCATACGGAAAGGCATAATGATGCGCTTGAGGTGTTCGTACGTACGCAGTCAATACTTCACAACGATGCGGATATTCGGAAAGAAAGAAGTGCAAACGAGATCGCCTATCTGAAAGCGCAAGTTTACAATTATATGGGACAAATCTACTATGAAACCGGGCAGATAGATATAGCAATTCGTGCCTGCCAACAGGCACTTCAGTTTGGGCAGTTCCTGAGCAGCGGGCAAGAAAACGACAAACCTCAAAGACAGTCGACGCTTTCGGATTACGTCACTTTTTTTCTCGAATGTACATGCGAATCTGGCGATGGTGTATGAAAATACGGGTCAGCTTGAAGAGGCAATCGCACACTATCAAAAAGCACTTGAACTGCATCCAGCAAAACCCTCACTGCACCGCGACCTTGCCGGCGTATATTGGAAAAAACGCCGTTATTCCGAAGCCGAGTCGCATTACAAACAGGTTATCGCCCATGATGTAACGGATGTCCAAGCTATTTATAGACTCGGCTTAATTTCTCTGATGAAGGAGGACTATCTTGAAGCCGTCTCACTGTTTAAAAAGGTTATCGCAATTGAGGCGACGCACGTTCGCG